GGCCGGGAGGCGGAGCCTGCCGGGCGTGGGGGAGGGTGCGGCGCCCGATAAGTGGCGGAGCGGAGCGCGCGCCCGCCCAGAAAGCGAGCGCGCCCCAGCCAGGCCTCCTGCGCCCTGTGCCTCTCGTCTGCGCGCCTCTCGCGCCCCCGCTGTCGCCTTCAAGCCGACCCCTCGGCCCCCGGCCGCTGCTCGCCAGGCCCCGGCCCCGCCGCCCTTCGCCCAGGACCGGCCCGCGCCGCCATGGGGGTGGAGGGCTGCACCAAGTGCATCAAGTACCTGCTCTTCGTCTTCAATTTCGTCTTCTGGGTGAGCCCCGGCCGGGCAAGGGGGGCGGGGCGCGCGCCCCGAGCACCGCAGGCCGCGCGCCTCGCTAGGCCCCGCGGAGGGGGCGCAGCCGGGCCGCCAAGTTGCTGGGCCACCTGTGCGCGCCGGGCGCGGGGCGGGGAGTCCTGGGCCGGTAGGCTGCGACGTTAGGGGCCGTCTGGGGCCGCCGCGCCGCTTGACGGTGGGGCGGGGGGCTGCGAGCCGGGTTTCGGGGCCTCTGCGCGTCCGGGCCCAGAGCCCCGCGGCCGGGCCGGGGCGTTTGGGCGCCTCGGGTCTGTTACCGATTGGTGATAGTCGGGGTTGCGGTGGGTGCGGGCTCTGGGCCGCGTACCCCGCCGCCGCTCAGCCCACCTGGCGCTGTTCCTGGGACCACCCTGTTTTGCGAGGATGGAGAGGGGGCTCGAGGGCGGGGCTCCCGGCGCCCCGCCCCCATGAGCTCATCGAGGCCACCTCCCCTTGATGGTCGGCCGGCTGAGGAGGGGGGCGGGGGGGTTGCGCACACTCCGTCCGAATCTTGAGGAACGTCCACCCCACTCTTGGCCTAGCCCAGCTCACCCCCCAGTCTGCTGTCGCCATCCTGGGGATCGTCCTGGGGGTCCGGGCCCGGGGCGGAGCTCAGACAGAAAGCGCCCTGGGCCCTGATGGCCCGTGTGCTGGGGTGCTTGCACCATAGTGGCCCCGGTTTGTGTGGTCCGGTCCTCTTGCCCTCCTCACCCAGACTGAGATTCCATCCCAGCCTCGACCCCCGGAGCTTTGAGGGGAGTGGGGTCCGAGCCTGCGTTCTGAGCTGGCACAGGGCAGGGGGCTGTGAAGACCTGAGCGCCTCTGAACTCTGGGGGCCTGGGTCCGGGTGGGTGCCCAGATCCGGGCTTGGGCATCCACTTTGGAAAGAGGAGCGCCACAGGGTGGTCATCTCTGGGTGCGGCAGGGTCTCCCCGGGGTCCCCAGGCTGCTGGCCTGAGAGTTGCATCTTCCTGACCTTATTCTTAATCTCTGCCCAGTGACTGATGACGCTTTTGCTTTTGTTTCTGTTTGCTGTCGATGTTGGAATGGGGAATGGGGTGGAGATCTCTTTTTGGCTTGGTAGGCCCCTGGATGGGTGTCAGGAGCCCGCTCGATGGCCGTGCCCTGCCTCCTCTCAGTGCTCCCCTGGGCAGTGACCAGGACCCCCTGCCGGGCCCCCTCACTGCTGCTTTGCCACCCCAGGCTGCTCACCCCTTCCCACTGAGGACCAGGGTGATGCCTGGGGGGTGGCGTATTTTTCAAGTTGACGCAGGGAGGGTGAACTTTTTAAATGGCCCCTGGAGCCAGTGTGTAGGACTGGGGACATGTGCTTGCCATCTGGACGGCTGGTGATCTCAGGGCAGATCTCGGGGCAGTGAGGTATTTGGGGTGGGGAGGACAGAGACTGGACTAAACTCTAGCTGGGGGTGGAATGGGGTGTCACATCCTACCTGGGGTAGTGTCGGTGTGGATTTGGTGTTTGCCTCCTTTGGCCCAGGCAAGTGGGGAACAACGTCCAGACACCTCTCTGCTGGCCCCTGAGCCCATCCCCTACAAGCAAAGCCTGGATGTTGGGGCGAGGACCCCGGCGGGGAGGTGGAGGGGAGGCAGAGGAAGGGAACTTTTCCAGGAGTGGATTCTTGCCTGGGGCTAGATGTCAGTGCGGGTGGCAAGTCCCTCCCACCTGCCCAGCCTGGGAGGTCTCCAGGACGGGACCCCTGGAGCTCAGCCTGGGTGAATCTGATAGTTTCCCAGGCAGCTGGGATGGAGGCCTTGCATTCCGGCCCGCTTTCTATTGAGGCTTAAGGAAATGCTTCCAAGGCCTCTCCTCTCCCTTCCTGGGGCCTGCCCAGCTGAACATTGAGAACTGGAGCCATCTATAGTCACCATGGCCCCACCCACCCATGCTGGGCCACCCCCTGCAGTGGGGAGATGCTGGGCTGAGCCAGGCGGGGCTGCCGGGCACCACCGTGTCAGAGCTGCTCTCTGCCCCCTGGCATCTCTTGGCTGAGAGCATGGTGCAGGGGCGAGTTTGGCCGGGTGGAGTCCCCACCCCACTGCTCTACTGCTCTGGTGCTCTGGTCCTGGGCCTCAGCTCCCTCCCCTCTGAAGTGGGAGTCCTCAGACTCCTCTCTCCTGGGATTGTTGGTGGATCAGCTAATGGGAGTAGGGGCCACGCTCAGGAAATGGATGTTGGGCAAGGTGGCTGGCCGGGAAGACAGCCAAGGAGAGCCAAGCCTGTTGGTGTAGGCAGTGCCTCGGGGAAGGGGCTTTGGGTGCCTGGGAGGCTCCTGCAGGGCCCAGTGGCTGAGGGAGGGCTCCTGGTGCCTAGCCTGACTCCTCACCGTGCACCCCTGCCCCAGTGCAGTAAGGGGGTGCTGAGGGCGGGAGCCAGGAGGAGAGGTTGATAATAGGTATCTGGATAGGGGCACTTTTTCAAGTTCCGTTTTAGAGAGTAAAAAGGCTTCCCGCGTGGGAGGAGGCATCAGAGGCAGTCTGGCATGCTTCTGCAAAGAGGAACCCGGTCACCCTGCATGCCCACACACATACTTGTCCCCCACCCTCTGCACAGAGACCCCAGGGCCCCATGCAGTGTGCAGTCAGCCTGCCTGCCCACAGCCTGCTTTGGGGCTCCCTGGCTGGGCAGGCACCGGGCTGGGAGGTGGGGACAGGACAGGAGGACAAGAGCAGCCCCCCGGCCTGAGCGGGGGAGACAGTGCAGACGCTCCTTCCTGGAGATCCTACCCCTGGGGTGGGACCAGGAGATTCCTGGCGGCGGCAGTGGGCACTCAGATTCCTGCTCCTGGGGCAGATCAGGAAGAACAGAGGCTCACATCCCTGCTTACTCAACTGCAGCCGGTGACCTGGGCAGGCAGCTGACCTTGTGAGCCCCGCCTTCCTCATCTGTGGAATGGGTATGACAATAGCTCTCTCTTTGGGGGCTGGCCAGGGAGCCCTGGAGGTGCCACTGCCCCAGCGTCTCCCGCCTGGGACTGGGACGGGCTGCTCCACCAGCCTGATGCAGTCGGTGGCTGCCTTCCAGAGGCAGGGCGGCCAGACCCGGAATGGAACGGAGCTGATTAGAAGCCTTGCTAACTGGCATTTAATTCTCGCTTCCAGACAGCACAAGACTGTCTCTCACTTAGCGGTGCTGTCGCCTTCCTTCCGGGAGAGGGGGTGTGACCCAGGCGGGCTCTCGGTGGGGATGGGGATTTCCTGTGCCCAGTTCCAGCCAGGGCCAGGGGACTTCCCTTGGTCCTCCCCGGCATCTCGCTATGGAGCTTTGGGGAAAAGGCCGTTGGGCTCCTGGCTGAGAAGAGGAAGTCTGTGGTCTGTCCCTGGGATGCGCTGGCCCCAGTGAGGGTGGCGGGGAAGCGAGGGGCGCCGAGCCAGAGTGAGGGGCCGGGAGCCGGGGCACCTGGCCGGCTCTGCTCCCATGCTGACGTGGTGCCCTCCCTGTGGGCTGTTCACCCCCAGTCCCTATCTCATACTGCTTCAAAGTCTGGACAGAGATGGACCCCCCCCCCAAAAAATTGAAAAGAAACCACCCCATCCCCCTCCCAAATATGCTACCCCCATGCCTTCATTTCGGCGCCAAAATCCTGCGACAAGGAAGGACCTGGGTCATAAAATCAATACAGCTTAGAGTCCGGGCGCCCGAGGGAGGGGCAGATGGTCACCTTTGCACTGACCTGGCGTTCTGGAGAGGGCCCGAGGGTGGGGGTGGGGGTAGGGGAGAAGCCCAGGGCCCGGCCCCCCAGGACCCAGGCTGGCCACACAGCGACGGCTAGGTGATTTTCGGCCCTGGAGGTGGCACCTGCCCAGTGGCCAGGACTCCTCGGAGAACCAGGCTCGCCCAGAACTGGCCCTCAGCACCCTTCTCTTGAGTGGAGCAGAATGTGAATTGACCCAAGCACGGATGGCTTCCAAAAGCCTCTGGACTTCTGACTCTCCCCCTGCACCCCCACACACACTGTGTACTTTCAGTCCTGGCCTAAGCCCCTCCTCGATGGCAGAGCAGGTGCTAGTTCCTTCCAGGTGGACCCCCAGATGCGGGGGAGTCCCTGCGGGTGGGCAGGGGACCACTCTCAAACGGCTGGCCTGTCATCAACCGGCAGCTGGATCTCCCTTCCTAAGCCAGCTGCCAGTGCTGTGGCCGCAGGGGCACCTGAGACGGGGCAGCCGCCCTCTTCGGGTGTAAGGGCTGGCGAGGGCCGGGGCTCGAGGGATGGGAGGCACATTGGGCCTGGGGTTTGGTGGAGTCAGGCCCTGTAAGTGCCTCGGGTCGCTGGTGGGGGTGCTCTGGGCCGGGGGCCCAAGAGCCCAGGCGTGGGGATCTGAGCGTCATGAGGCCTGGGGAACAGGGAGTCCCCTTGTCCTCTTCTCTGAAGCTATGGCCCTTCTTCTAACTTTGGAAAATTAGTGCTGCCCCCACCCCCAATTATTGAGGTAACGTGATCATCGTCGTGAAGGCAAAGGACAGGAAGGCAGGCTGGCCTGCCATGCAGAGCTGGCGGGTGACCCACCTGGTGTCCTGTGCCATCACACAGGAATCTTCTGTACCTACTGTCCCACACCCAGGTTGGCTGGGTCACAGCTCTCCCTCAGGGGATGTCTAACGGCGCCCGGGCACCTGTCTCACCTGTGCCGGCACCTGTGGGTGGGCGTTGAGGTTGGCTCCACACTGCAGCTGACAGCCAGCTCCCGGCGGTGAATGTGGGGACTCAGGCCAAGAACCCAGGGCTGCAAGGTGCCCGGGTGCGGCTTGGGGAGCAGGAGTGAGGACCCCAGGCTGCCCACCTTCCTGGGTCTCTAGTCCTGGGGGCTGTGAGGCCTGAGCCCCTCAGCTCGATGCCCTCGGTCTCGAGGGTTCAGGGGCTTCCCAGGGGCAGCGGGTTTGGGAACCACTGGCTGCAGTCTGGCCACGCCTGCCCAGGGCTCATGGGGAGCTCACCCCTGACACAGCTGCAGCTCTGCTT